TTATTATCAGATGTTATTAAGGCAATGTGTAATTCAGCTTTATTGAAAATCTGATGTACTTCCTTTAGCAGAAAGTGTTGTTGTTTCAGGTGATAGTGACCTTGAACTTAACCCTGAACCTATTATTGATTTTACAGATTTTTCAAGTGTTGATTTTCACAGGAACAGCAAAAAGATCCTGATATTGCTAGATTTTATCATATTTTAAACAATAATATTATTTTTAAACCAACAGGAAATTAAACAAGAGTCCAAGGCAGTACAATTTTATATTAGACATAAGTCTTCTCTTTTTATACAGGAGAAAGTCCTTTTTAGAAAAGTAGAAATAGATGGTAATGAAATTTTTCAATTAGTGTTACCAGTTCATTTTAGAGGTATTGCCTTGACAGGTTTACATGATGAGGTTGGTCATCAAGGGCGTGATAGGACCTTATGGCTTGTTAAGCAGAGGTTTTTTTGGCCCCATATGGAACAAGATGTCCTTGAAAGGATTCGAACCTGTCCGAATTGCATAAGGAGAAAGACGCCAACTAAACCTTCTGCCCATATTGGTACCTATACAGACTTCTTATCCTATGGAGATTGTCTGTATTGATTATCTATCATTAGAGAAATCTAGTGGTGGATATGAAAATATCCTAGTTATTACTGATCATTTTACTAGGTACGCCCAGGCCATACCGACCAGAAACCAAACAGCCCACACAACAGCAAGAGTGTTGTTCGAGAACTTCTTCTGTCACTACTCTTTTCCTGCAAGACTGCACAGTGATCAGGGCCGTAACTTTGAAAGTAAGGTTATACAGGAGCTGTGTAGGATTGCAGGGGTGGAGAAGTCTCGAACAACACCCTACCACACCTATGGGTAAATGGACCCAACCCAGCGTTTTAAAATCCCACGTTTTCTCGGTATGCTTTTGGGGAAAAAATCGGACCCCCGGAGGGTTTTAAAAGCAATTTGGGGGAAAACTTTGTTCCCAAGGGCCTTTTTGTTCCCTGCCTATAATGCAAAACCCAAAAATGAAATCTACTTGGCTACTCCTTTCCCCATTATTTTATGTTCCCTTTGGGACCCAAAAACCCAGCCCATTGATTTCATTCCTTTGGGGATCGAGCATCCCAACCCGAAAATCGAAGTCCAGAGAAATCCTATGTTGACAAGGGTTGGGAAAAAGAGGAAGGGGTTTTCATACAAAACTGCCCAAAAAACCCCCCATCAAAAAAAGGACAGAGACACAAAAACCTACTATGTTGCTAAGGTTTTGCCCCTCTACATTAGATGTTGGTGATAGAGTCCTCATCAGGAACGTTACCCCTAAAGGCAAGTTAGATGACAAGTGGGAGAAGGAACCTTACATCATAGTAGGCATCCCCAATGAAGACATTCCAGTCTACAAACTGAAGAAAGAAGCTGGCAAGGGAAAAGAGAATACCCTACATAGAAACCTCCCTCTTCCTCTGATGTCTATACCTTACACTTACGATGAGACACAACGTGAAAAGCAGGTTTCTAAGCCAAAAGCCAGACCAGACAGAAGGGAACAGACTATAGGAGTTGTACCAGAGCAAGAGTCAGACTCAGACTGCAGCACAGGAAGTGAAACTCCTAGATACATTCCTCCACATAGAAGACCAGCATCCAAGCCCCGTGTACTAAGACCGGTGCAGCCAACCAACAATACACATGTTGTTTGTGAGGATCAGTTGTCATCTACTGGTGGAGAGATGTCATCATTTTCACAGAATTTAGGGTCTCAACATGTTTCTCCAAATTTACATTTTAGAGATAATTTTTCTGTTGATAACCTATATTCTAATTTTTCAGGTGGAAACCAATTTAGTAGTTCCCATAATAATGCTATTTTATCAAATAGTAATTTAAATACTAATGTTTCTAATAGTAACAATTTTTCTCTTGTTACAGATGACCCCAGTATTGTTCGAAGGTCATCAAGGGTTAGAAAACCACCAGATAGGTATGGTGAGTGGGTTAGACCCATTACAGCAAATGTTGATTTTCAAAATCATGACATTTTGTATCCTCAATCTTTTGCAGATCAGGGAGAATGTCACATAATAGATATGACTTTTGATTTTCCATATAAATTATTGAAATATTGTATTTCAGTTTTGATTTATATGTGTTTTGTTTACTGAACTTAATTTCTGTGTTTTACATTACAGAATAGTTATAAAGTTTTCAGGTTTAAACATGAAAATCTATATCAGAAATCATTATTTCTGTGTGTGCAATTTACATTTCAGATTTTCAAGAGAGTACAAGTAAATGAAATATGTATATTGCATTTCGAAATGTTAAGGTTAATGATTCATATTAAATGCATTTCTTTTTGATATTTTAACTGAATTTTGTGTCTGAAAATGTTATATTTATCTTTTCAGAAAATATGGTGCAGTACCTTTAATGTTGACAAATTTAGTGTTGTACCTTTAACATGCTAAATGTCAATATGTGCCTTTAATGTACCATTACTCTTGAAGTTGAATTTCAACTTTATGTTATTCTTATATATCTATTTCAGTATACATTAATGAGATAGAGTATGTTTTTAAATGTGTTTTTTATAGGTTGATGCAAATTGGAAAATGATTGTTGATATTTTCATTTTCAGCAAATGATTGTTGATATTTTAATTTTCAGCAGATGTATTATTTTCGCAATTGTTTATTGATTAGAAACTTTTCAGATGTTCAGAATCTTAACTTCAGTAATTGTTTTGGAAAATTTTGGCTTAAAATTTAAAATTAATTTCAGTTTAATTATTAAATAAATATTGCTGAAATTTACTTGAATTTACTTAAATAGGTTAGGTAGTATTAATTTAAATGTATTTTAACTTGATAGATTCTGTAAATTAATTAGTGTAGGAAAATGTCAGGAGCCATTTTCTCCTACCAGGGGAGAATGTCACAGATTGAAATTATATAGTAATGGCAGCCGTTGCTTTCCATAGTTTTATTTTTAAGCGGAAACATCGTGCACGCGCGTTTTTATTCGGTTACGTTTAGTTTTTATCGTATAAGTTTAACTTCCGGTATTGAATCGGTGAAAATCGACAATTTCCGTCAATGATGTACATTGTCGATCTCACCCGTGCAATATCGTGAACACTGGTCACTCTTTCTTTCTTGTAACTTATCCAATTGGTGTGTTTGTTTATGTATGATTCTATGTGAGAGAGATATCCATTGGTTCTTTTAAATAGTCTTTACTTCTGCGCACTGTTTGCTTTTCCTGTCCCGCTCACTCTTTACAGTCATCTCTTACGAGTCAGACATAGTAAAAACTTAACATTTATATAGATATACATTTACTTTACCTATTTCAATTTATATTGAAATAGTTTAATTACAGACGCTGTGGTAAGAATAGTATTAATATTAGAATATTAATTGTATTTCTTATGTATTTTCTTATTCCGCGTCGATTGTGTATATATTGTTATTTCATTGTATTTTGTTTTTCTATGTATTGTATTTGTAAGATGTATAATTATTTTATTATATTTTTAGACCATTTTTATTTGGAGTCATTAAAAACATCGAACCTACGCCCAGAGTTTTGTTTCTGTTCCACCGGAAATATTTGACCCTGTGACACATTCATTATCAATATTAGATTATTGTAGATCATGGACTGACATCGCATACCATCATGGTAAGTTGAGAACTTATTGAGACAAATAAAACAAAAATTAAAACAAGAGGGCCATTACTTTCCTAAATTGCTCACCTGAATTCCTTTTAATTCCTCTATTCCTCTATCTCATTCAAAGTCATCAAAGGTGAAATTTTGATTTCTCATATTTAAATAAACTGAGCAGGCCAATTTTGAGCAAAGTTATGCAATAAATAAGTAAATTATAAATCATTATTGTTACAAGCAAATAACTAAGATCCAGGCCACATACTTCCATGCATGGGGGATTCATACATATTTTTCATACTTGTGTACCCAAATGGAACCATCTATTGTTTTTGTTTATCTAGTTTACGCTGACTTTAACATATTTTTATTTCATATCTTCGCAGTCAGTTCACCTTACTAACTTTCCTGGATACCTAACCAGTAATTAACATTTCCTCAGCAAATGGCCTACTACTTATCCCACATGATTACTGAAACAGCAGTGAGAAACAAATGACCAATAGACTCAAGTGCAAGATCAATTGTCACAGTAGACAAATAACGCCTCGCATGAGGATCCAGCTACCTCTTGAATACAAATCTGCTGCTCTCCCTCTTGAGCCAAGCAGGTAGACTATAATTGAGCCGCGTCACGACAAAACCAACATAGTGGGTTTGCGACCAGCATGGATCCAGACCAGCCTGCGCATCCGCGCAGTCTGATCAGGATCCACGCTGTTCGCTATCAGTTTCTTTACTTGTAATAGGGTTTGAAAGCGAACAGCATGGATCCTGATCAGACTGCGCGGATGCGCAGGCTGGTCTGGATCCATGCTGGTCGCAAACGCACTATGCTGATTTTGTCATGACACGACTCATATTATTTTGGTAGAAAGCTACCTAAGGATCATTCCTATACAGTTTAGTGAAAATCTACTAAGTGCTTTAAGAGGCTATTACTTAAAGAAATTAAGTATAAACTACCTGTGACCAACATCATGCTATCACAAAAGCTCACCTCCCAGCACTTAGTGCTTAGGTGAGCTGAATAGTATATCAACAATATAAATAGCAGCTTCATATGACAGATATAAGGACACATTCTCCAATCAAAACACAACTTAGATATATTTCTAAACCAAAACAGCGTAACATATACAGCAAATAAAAATCACTACATAAAATCAGAACAAAATTACAGCCATGACATAAAACCTAGAAACTAAGGGAAACAATCGGTTTATACTTCTATCTATTGTTTGCAGTATTTTATATATATAGTCTATCAGTGGTTATGTAAGTTATAAAATTAATGACAATTTCTTTAATTTACTGTTATCAACAATACCTTCTAGCTAGTTTTGGTGATCCTGTTCCATTTGTAATTTTGTTACCATTAGCTGGTTTTTCCCATGGTCTAGTTGTCGCCGTCTGTACTGGGGGTGTCGGTGAGGGGCTTACATTTCTTGGCGAAGTGTCCTGATACGACAAAGAACAGTAAGGTATCTGTTTAACACTGTTTAAGTTACTATGTAAGAATACAATAATTCAAGTTGATGATGTCCTATCTAAATGTTCTAGGGTGACAAAATTCTTGTAATAATCTATTACAATGTTTGCAAAAAGTCCTTGGATATTATTAATGGCATGTGGTTTTTGTAACAACAAGAAAACACAGAAGTTTTACTTTACATGCCCTTAAATCATAATATGATTATACCAAAGTTATTACATAATATTATATAGAGGATATTCAAGTTTTTTCTATAAATACATGATTTATTTTCATTGAGTGGTATGAAAATAAATATTTCATGAGTGGCGGTAGCCACGAGTGAAATATGGTAATTTTCATGCCACAAGATGAAAATAAATCATGTATTTATAGAAAAACTTGAATTTTCTGTTTATTATATACATTTTTCTCCTTTTTGATATTAAAATTTGAAAGATTTTCCCTTAAATTTTGTGTACTGGCAGAATTTAAAAGAAAGTAGTCCGGCAAGACACCAGTGAAAATACGGAAAATATGTTTCACTGCAGTGAAAAATAAATTTTTACAGTGAAAATACGGAAAATGAAAATACGCATTTTATTTCATCAATATTTCTCAATATTTCATTTATAAGTATATAATAAATACATTTCTTTTTATCACATCATCTCTCTTGTTTTTATAACATTTGGATATAACTATATACCATCTGATGTCCCTCAATTACATAGAGGATATTCAAGTTTTTTCTATAAATACATGATTTATTTTCATTGAGTGGTATGAAAATAAATATTTCATGAGTGGCGGTAGCCACGAGTGAAATATGGTAATTTTCATGCCACAAGATGAAAATAAATCATGTATTTATAGAAAAAACTTGAATTTTCTGTTTATTATATACATTTTTCTCTTTTTTGATATTAAAATTTGAAAGATTTTCCCGTACTGGCAGAATTTAAAAGAAAGTAGTCCGGCAAGACACCAGTGAAAATACGGAAAATATGTTTCACTGCAGTGAAAAATAAATTTTTACAGTGAAAATACGGAAAATGAAAATACGCATTTTATTTCATCAATATTTCTCAATATTTCATTTATAAGTATATAATAAAATGTATTATTAGCAATACACAGTAATTTATATCTGTTATATTTTATCATTTGTTGGTTAAAATGTATTGATAGCATTTTCTTTTGGGTTGACAGTAAATATTTAGAAAATGTTTACCTCCTGTATTTTGTGTTGGTTTGGCAGCTTGAAACATAAATGTTTATTGATTGACAGAAAATGTACCTCTTGTGTTGTGTTGGTTTGGTAGCTTGAAACATAAATGTTTATTGATTGACAGAAAATGTTACCTCTTGTGTTGGTTTGGTTTGGTAGCTTGAAACATAAATGTTTATTGATTGACAGAAAATGTACCTCTTGTGTTGTGTTGGTTTGGTAGCTTGAAACATAAATGTTTATTGATTGACAGAAAATGTACCTCTTGTGTTGTGTTGGTTTGGTAGCTTGAAACATAAATGTTTATTGATTGACAAAAAATGTACCTCTTGTGTTGTGTTGGTTTGGCAGCTTGAAACATAAATGTTTATTGATTGACAGAAAATGAACCTCTTCTGTTGTGTTGGTTTGGCAGCTTGAAACATAAATGTTTATTGATTGACAGAAAATGTACCTCTTGTGTTGGGTTGGTTTGGCAGCTTGAAACATAAATGTTTATTGATTGACAGAAAATGTTACCTCTTGTGTTGGTTTGGTTTGGTAGCTTGAAACATAAATGTTTATTGATTGACAGAAAATGTTTATCTCTTGTGTTGGTTTGGTAGTTTGAAACATAAATGTTTATTGAGTGACAGAAAGTTTTACCTCTTGTGTTGGTTTGATTTGGTAGCTTGAAACATAAATGATTATTGATTGACAGAAAATGTTTATTTCTTGTGTTTGTTTGGTAGCTTGAAACATAAATGTGTTTATTGACTGACAGAAAGTTTTACCTCTTGTGTTGCTTTGGTTGCTCTTAACATAATTTTTCTTTGTAATTCATTCATGTGGTCCATTGGTCCCCCTCCTATAGGTGGTTTGTTACTCGTATTTGAACCAACACTTCCTACCTCTCCATCAGTCTATTTATAGATACATAAATAATATTATTAGTGTTGTTACTACCTTTTAACATGGACATATATATTTTTGCACAAGTAATACTGTATATCTACTAGAAATATATATAATAATGTTTGAAATAAATAACACATACTTATAATAAAGTTCAAATGTATATTTTACCTTAAATGGCAGAAGGAAACATAAAAATAACCTCTGTTAACTCTTTTAGACTAATGACATACCTATCAACTTAAGATTAGCTGCATGAAAATTAAAACCATAAATATATTATTGATTATATTTTATGCTTTAATTTATGACAGCAAAATGTAGAAATCTGAACAGAAAAACATTTTACCAAGAAAAATCACAACTATATACAGATGAACAGAAAAAGGAAATTGATTTTCTATTGATCATTTACCTCTACTTTTTTCAATTTCTTCAATTTTGCTGCTTGCAAAGCTGCAGCAAGCCCCTGTGGTGCCCCTCCACCATCTTCAGATGGGCTGCTTCCTCCTACTGGTGGCGGTGGTGGGGCAGGAGGAGCTCCACCCCCTACAGATGGCGGGGGTGGGGCAGGCGGTGCCCCTGGTACAGGAGGTGCTGGTGGGGCAGCAGGGGCTGATGGTGGGGCAGGAGGTGCTGGGGGTGCTGCAGGGGGAGCGGGCGGGGCAGCTGGTGGGGCTGGAGGTTGAGGCGGCTGTGGTGGAGCAATCACATGTTCTGGTTGCTGATTTTGTGGGGCAGCATAGGGAGCTGGTGCTGAAATATATCAATGATATCTTACATTTAAATCATAGTAACACATTGATCTTCTGGATGATCTGCGTCCTACTTTACCCACAACACTGTCACAAGTTAATTCTAATATTTAGAAATGAACATGAAATTTTAATAAGACTGAATTTAGATATATCTACAATGACATAAGAACAATAAAAATATCTGTATTTAATTAGAGTTTGCAACTGTAAAAATTACAAATAATGGTCATTTTTTTGACTCCATAACTGAACAGTTTAACATAAAAATTATAACAGAGAAAAAAAGTAATGTCAGAAACATAACTAACAACTTACACTTACAATAAATTGAGGACTTCGAACCTAAAAAGTTGTAATATTGTACACTTCATATTCCTAAATTCATTCAAGTACCTTTTATCCTGCGACCTTACATTGTAACTATCCAATAGTATGGGAAGATTTAAGATAAAATTATATGGAAAGTATAACTAAAATAAATGTCAAGAGTGCATAACAAACAAACAACTAATAAATGGGAAGTAGTCCAGCTAAAATGATAAGCATAATGAATAATCCATGTCTCTAAAATAAATCATATTTCAATCAAATATTAGCTGGAATACTGTATCAGAGAGGTATATTTGTATAAGAAATGTGATCTCACCTCCACCAGATGGGTGACGTATGTGAGTCTGAAAGTCGGGTCTTGAAGACCTGTGAATTAACAACAAAAATTAAAACACTTGTTTCATTAACATCTATGTAATATTCATTTATTCACAAAGTTTTATAATACCTTGCCTGCTTGACACTATTTGAGTACTAAATTATTATTCTGTAAGTTACAACATAATTATAAATATATACCGTACAAATTAATCATAAACCAATGACGGTAAGAAAACATTATTGTTTTCAAACTGAACAATTTAGTTTAATATTAGTTTTTCTTGCACTAGATGAAAGCTCTAGATTTCAGATAATTGAGAATCAAAGATCACAGACAATACATCATAAAACCCATTCATTTCATTTTTTTTTTTCATTTTTTTTTTATATTCGGTTTAACATTGCAACAACACAGTATAAGTAATATGACGACTTTTCAGGTATACTAGTGGAGGAAGACCTCATGTGCACCTTTGAAGATTATTTCAGGCACAAACACGCACCTAAGTAGAACCACCGACATTCTGTAAGCTAGCTGGATAGCTTTCTCACATTCACATGCAATGACAAAGAAAAATCTCAGATGTGCTTGCATATATTACTATACACACAGGTGGGAACAAAGCCCTTTCAAAGTACATCCAAAGACAATAAGCAAACAAGCTAGATGTTTCTCACCCTAAATTTAAACTCAGAAGTAAGGTCACATTAATAGTAAAATGCTTTATCAATGATGTATATAAATGTATACAAATGTTACCTATTATCTTCAGTTATTTGTTGTTGTGGTCCATTCTGTTGTTGTGGTGGTGGTGCTGTAAACTGTTGCTGGTACCCAGCTGGAGGATGACTGGGAGGAGGGTTGGCGGGCGCTGCTGGGGCAGCCATTTGTCTCCCTTGATCTATAAATTCAATTTATAATAAATATACTGTGATGTATATTTTTTCTTGATACAAATTCTATTTATAAGCTAATGTGAACAAAAATATAAACCTGTTGAAGAGAACCGTAAAATATTGTAATCTATATCTACCAGTATTTTTTATATTAACCCCATTGATAAATAAGAGCATGTGCTCATATTAATATAATTTTTCTCATTTGAAAAAAAAATGTTGAAAACAGAGGCTGAAAATACATCTTTGACAAAGGACACTGCAATAAAGTTTATTAAGTTATATAAATTTATTTTAGTTTGATAGTGTTGGAGACTATAAGCTTAATAAAACACTCTCAAATCTGTTCCTGGAACTACCCAGTACTAAGCTATTAGTGTAAAGTTTCTTGCTCAAGGAAATAAAGACTTGCCCCTAATGAGATTTAAACCTACCCGACCAGCAATTTTTAGATTAAGAGTCAGTACTGTCAATACTAGACAGGTTATCCACTAGGTCATGACACTAAAATAGAACATGTATATTATTCCTACACACAAAATTAATGTAAAACGTATGAACTGAAAAAATATTTCAATAAGATATTGATTGTAGAAAGGATTTCATGATCAATCACAATGAAAGTGACCAGGACAGTCTGGGAATCAAACCCAAATCACCCAATTCACAGATCAACGCTTAAATCTTCTTCATATATCCTCACATTGTCAAACGCATTAATCTACATTCTATAATAGAACTTACTGTTCAGTGTGTCTAATGCTGCAAGCATGGCATTGGCAAATATTTCTGAATCTTCTTTGTTTGCAAAGTTGAGACCATATACATGACGACTGTCTCTCCACTGGTGAAATGTGGGCGTGGCCTGATTATATTTCAGATTCTTTAAAATGGCACAATTGATCACCACCTGAAATGTATAATTTAAATGAGCCGCGTCACGACAAAACCAACATAATGGGTTTGCGACCAGCATGGATCCAGACCAGCCTGCGCATCCACATAGTCTGATCAGGATCCATGCTGTTCCCTTATAAACCCTATAGCAAGTAGAGAAACTGATAGTGAACAGCATGGATCCTGATCAGACTGCGCGCAGGCTGGTCTGGATCCATGCTGGTCGCAAACCCATTATGTTAGTTTTGTTTTGACGCGGCTCAAATATTTAAATAACATTGACAAATAAAGTAGCAAAATATGTACTGACTGAATAGTGAACAGTGCAGGCCAGGATCAGATGGTAAATTTTAGTTTGTTGTACTTATCTTTACTTCCTCAATATCAAAAATCTGGTTAGAATATAAAGTTATATCAAATTCTTATTGTTATAATAACATATACAGTCAAAGTCTTATTTTGTCATCAACTGAATTCACAAAATTTTTAATTTGACTTTCAAGCTATTAAATGCTATAAAGGCATCAGAAATATTTTGTTCAAAATAAAAATAAACAATTTTGAAAAAAAGAAGCTACCATAGTTTTTTTTAGAAATTCTACAGATATTATACAAATATATAGTTTAACATTTTTGTCTTAATTCCACATGCAAATGTATGTAATAGAGAAAACTTAAAAAAAGTTTTCCTCAATTGTACCCAAAATATGAGGCAGAAATTGTAACAAATATAATTCTATTTATCTCCTCTTTAATGGTCTAATGTGACCACTGTGACCATTTAACATTTATTCAGATAACTTTTAGAAATATTTTTCCTCATCATATCATTTGAGGAGAAAAATCTCTAAAGTAATTTAAATAAAGTTCATCAACAACTAAAATACATTCTTATAATACTGAAAGCTAAATCAGTAAATAAATGACAGGAAATAAATTTATCAATGTCTTACATGGAAAATTTATATAATCTTCGATAAATTGAAAAAGCAACATTTAACTCTTACCTGTTTGTTTAATTTTAATCATTAATACAAAATGTAAAACTGTCATGTGGCATTGTGCGCCTTAAGAGTACCATGACTCATGGCCCTTACAGATCATCCACAGTAAAAAGCTTGCATTTTTCATCGATACATTTGCATGTGATTCAAGAATGCATTATCAAAAGGTAGCTAATGGAATTCTCTGTATTGATTTTGACTCATGACGAAATCTGGCGTAAACAATCAAAACATTTTTGAGGCAGTTTAACTTCTAGTTTCATTGATGTAAAACATAACAGTGTCTGTATTTAAAGTTTATGCCCTACTATAATACTGTAGCTTTAATGGTTTTTTACAGATAAAAAGCTATTTGCTCAATGAAGCATCTAAACTGTTACACTGTTAGAGAAAAAATTCCCTTTAGGTTAATCAGATGATCAAAATATTAAGTGGATTTACTTTATTAGCCAAATATTCATTCTTCCCCAAGTATTTTCATTTTTGCTTCCTCTGTCACCCTTGTTTTCTAAAGGAAACATTCTGTTCTTTATTTTGTAAAGAAATCATGTTAACTGTATCTAGCTTCAGGAGATCTATGAATGGAAGGAGTAATGTGAGTCATACAGTGGGATTTACAACCAAGTTTTTTCTCTTAGTTCCTGCCCCTTTAAATATTTACTCATGACAAACTAATATTTCTGCTACTTACAACATAAATAAAAACAAAGCCAATAAACCTTTACTGTACTTATTGACTTTCACATGAGATGGAAGGAGTGATAGAGACAATATCTCCATCAGAAAGTTACTAACGTATATCAATTCTTGCCTACAGCCAATAAACCATACGTACAACAATACCGTCTACAAAACGCTTGGATCAGTGTCCTTCAGAGGATTACTAATTTAACTTACCAACAACCCAGACCATTATTACTTCCTTACGATGATAATTCGGCAATCATTTTAGATCCTTGAGCATAAAAATGGCAAGATGGTTATTCTTTAACCAACACAATCATGTAATCATAGAATTAGGCCAGTCAAAGATGGGTATGTTGATTATACAGTTAAGTTGATTTATCTATTCATTTTCCTCGGAGGTATATTGGAATGACAGTCACTTGTCAGTGACATGGCTATCTCTGCTAATTTACCAACGGTAAGACTAAAGAGAAATATATGTAGATATTTAGATATAAGGAATTACTAAGACTAAGACTGTGTAACAAGACTGTGTCTCTGGGAGGAGGCATACATGTACATGACTGGCTAAAAATAAAGATCATTGCACTGAATGATGATTACCTAGGAAATTGTATGGTTATTATTCAGTCTAGATTTACTGTATTAGTGTTAAAAAGTTGAACTACTAGACTAATGAAACATTGGTCACACTCTTGTCTCGGTCAATATAATTGATATGTGAGAAGTTGTGGTAGATACAGACGATATAACGTGTGAAATTAAACACTTGGTAAATGATGGTCAGTCTCTAATAAATACAGTCTGTCTCCCTCATATATTAAACATAGCACTTTACATGTAATGTTGCAGAGTAGACATCATTACAGGGGCTTTGCTTAGACTAAATTCATTTGTAGATCTAATTTCTGGGGGTATGGGGGCGTATGTGATTTCCTTTTGCTCTGCTCTTTTTGGGGTGTCACTTTGGTATCTTTTTAGTACATGAATATTTTTAGGGGACTGTGAGTGTTAGATACTACAAGTAGACAAGTAAATCATTAAATGCTTAAATTCAGCTATTCACATTCTTTTATTTACATATACTTTGTATACCTAAATAGTTTTCAAATAAAGAAACACAAAGCACCTCATTTCCATTAATTTACCCTTACCCCTTATTAATTTTTGCATTTTCATGAAGAAAGTATTGACTTTGGTATTTATATGGCATACAGGAAGCTACACCCCTGAAATAACAATTAGGATTTGTTATTTTTTTGTTTTCTAAATTCTTCTACATGCACTTCCTTGTCTGGATTTTTAAGTAGCACAAAACAACGTTTTCACACACAAATGCTTTGTTGAAGAGGTAATAACACACAATTGACACCATTTAAGTTTAAATGTCCCTCTCGTAACATATATGTTTATTATTCAGATTTCATACCTCATGGTCTTTTAGTTTACGTCCCACCACCCTGAATAAATTGTTAACTGTATGTCGGTAGATCTGAACTTTGGAGAGACCAGGTGATGATCCGCTTGGTATCCATTTCCGGTTCATGTCATCGTATGTCATGACATTTGCCCTTGCCTGGCAAATTGGTATTTCACTGAAAACATACAATAAGGAACAAATCAAATGTAGGACAAATAAATGAACAGGTATATAACTTAGGTTTCAACATCGGGAAACGGGGGGAGGGGGGGAAGATGGTAAAAATACAAATTACTTAAGAGGTCCAGTGGCATGAACTGAATACAAAATTTTATGGTCTAAAACCGCACACACTTCAATAACTTCAAACCTCTTAACACACATTATGTGAAGTTTCATTTCTGCACTGTATTTAAGGAACTTTTAAAACATGAATACTAGACTGCATGGTAAATTTCTACAACAGATGCTCCAATAAAATCAATCTGCAGAAAGAGCACTTCATAAACAAGTGCCGCAATAATTAGTGTGTAATGATTAACAGTAACACATAAGAATGTTCATGTGAGTTTGAATGAATGGTTACGGGCTGAGTCATATAGTGCCAGTAACTGATGGCAATATGAAATTATCACCTATGAATATTGATAGACCATCTGTTCAATAGTTCTTGCTGAAAACTGTGTATCATATTACAAAATTATCCACTTGCTAATTCTATCCCAGCTGACTAATTACCTGCCAATTATAGGTAATCATTTATATTTGTTCACATAAGTTTTGACACGAGTAAGAAGCTATACTGATAGTACTATCTATAGTATGAGAGACTTACTAGTAAGATGGCAACTATATAGTAAAATTTAATATCAGGACGTTTTTAGTTTTACTTTACTGCATTCATTATCATCAACAATCACATAAGAACATTGAAATTTCATCACGATTCAAGTAAAATCATCGCCATTCAACTAAATTTAACTATTTTAATGTTAAACATCATCATAATTATCATCATGAATATCATCTCTGTGTCATTACAGTGATTTTCTTGGCTATAGTAACTTGTTAGGTAGCTAGGTACAGAAATATTCAAAAGATCTAATAAAATTAATATACAATATATCAACAGAAAGGCAAGCTGGATCAATTAAACCATCAATCATATAATCTGAAAACAGGATTTCATATAAATCAATAGTTTCTTTTCCAGCAGCCCCATGTTTACTTTGGACAGGCCAATTTCCGAACAAAATCATTACATTCTTTTTATATGACGAGTCATAACTGTCTCATATTTTCCGGTACAAATAGTAAAATCCTTCCTGTGACAGAAATATCTTCCTGTTCTTATGAGGCAAGCATAACAAGTTGTTCTTACTTTTATACCAGTATATATAATAACCTGACATTGTTTCAACATTGCATGATTTATTAGTGTGTTTTTTTACACAACATACTTTTTATATATATACCTATAAAGGCAATTAACAAATACCATGTGTATCATTACTCAGTGCCTGTAAACTGTAAATAAGAAACATATTTGATCTATAAACATGCTATAATGATTGTTTCAGGTTTTTCAGCACTTGTTGATTTAGTATTACAATAAGTTTTCTCACAATCTATTGTATCCATATGACATGAGGGGTCTCTATAGCCAAGAGGTTAAGGGTGTATTCTCTAAATCACTGCCATGATTGAATCCTGACAGAAGCAGAAACTTTTCCAGGTTAGTTTACAAAAAAATTGTGGCTCTTCTTAGGAAAATAATTTATTCTGTCTTTGCCAACTGTGATGGCTGGGAAATGGTCACTATATCAGAATTGTGATATAACTTGTATAATGATTTACATGTAGGAGTTTATTTTGCTATATTTTATACAACATAAGTGGTGTTGGTAAAAAAAATTAATGACAAGTCTAAGTCAGAACACCAAATGCTAATAGAATATTTAAACATAGACCTATTTGTATGTTATATTCATTCAAGGACAGAAAAAGGAACAGCATATTTCTTTGCAGGCTCGTATTACTAAATTTTTTGGGGTTTACAATATGATTATAAAAGCATGTCCAAATCAAATTGTGAAAAACATTAAAGATCAACAAGGAAATTCAGTTATATTCATAAGATGAAAAAAATAATATCCTTGAATAAAATATGCAAAACAATAAAAAGCATGCAGACTACAATTACATAAATCTTTCTTTAAGTTTTGCATGATATCTGTATATTGCTAAGAGTGGAAAGTACAGAATTTTCTCCGAGGACTAGTTTTAGTGTGATGAACGTGTATGATGTATTCACCATGGGGATAAATTAATATAAGGAGTAGACCTATTAAGGAATGAACATACTGAAAGTTTAATGAAGCCTGTGAGAGTCTGCTACAGTTATCTCACATCTGTTTCATGAATTAACATGAAAACTGTATTTTGTCTAGCAGTTTATGCTGTTATGGGGTTAAAACACAGTTTCCAAACAGGAAGTCTAATATATATTGCGTCTAGAAAAAACTTTTAATTGATCAGAAAATATTCTTACTCGGTCACTTCCTGAATTTTATTTTAATCCACAATACATTTGTCAAATGAAACTTAACACAAAATACAAAATTTCAATTTGGTAGAATATGTGGACTTCTCATCATTCAAATTTTGAAATGTCCACTTTAAAGTATTTTAAAAAATTCAAAATTTTAAAATGTTAAAATTGGGCAGTCATTATTAAGTGTTCAGTATAAGGATTGCACCTGCTTGGCTCTATACTGCTGTTGGTATAGTCATGTCATTATTCCCACTAACATTGAAAGGGTTAAGTATAATATATGACAACTTTCTAATATGAATACAAATAATGTTGCGGTAACCTTAAGATAAACTTTATGTAATTATTTTCTGGCATTTTGGTATTAAATGTCACTATATTACATGCATATAAAGTTACACTGTGATCGAACTGGGCACATTACTAAAATCAACAATAAACAAAAAAGCCTTGGTGTATTACAAACATTTTAAATGTCGAACATGCTATAAATCTTAATACATTGTATTAAATATTTCATCATCTCAAGCAAATCCCTAACACCAGTTCACAAATTCTATTCAATGAATAGAAAATTACCAGCAGTTAAGTTAATTTAAAGATCTTGAAACCTTACAGAAAGATTATAAGGCTATCATCCAATCGTTTCTACAAGTGTTTAGTGCATATTTTATTAATAAACTAAGTAACAATCATGATGCTTTTCATTTACGCCAAAAATTCGCCACAAAATTAATGCATTGCCAATTCTTTAAGTCTACATAAGAATATTATATAAAAGCTACAAACAGCAGATTCTGGTTTGCCTGGCCTGGGATGTATATAGCAACAATGATGAATGGCTTATACCACTAAACCAACAATGCTGAAAGATGCTGCTAATTTTTTTAAAAATCAACAGAGCTGCGACTTTAATTATATTGATTATTGACCTGCTGATAAATTTTCGATAATTTGATATCTATAAGAAATATTCATGTAGTTATTATTACAGACAATATTCTATTTAATGGTTAAAAAAGATAAATATAACAATAGAGAAAGGCTCTTAAAAAATTTACAACCTATAAATAGATCTGTATAGTAGAAACAGAAATTCTGTGTCTGGTTTTCATTAATAGAAAGATTAAAATGGGGATTTCATTCACTCATGAAATGCCTACTCAAACTACTTTAGACATAAATCAGTTTTCCATTATATAATTCATTTTCGATTACTTCACTCTATACCTTTAAGTTCCACAGACACCATAGACACTGTGCTAATGTTTGCCAATTATGAAAACATGCCGAGATTTTCCTTCTAAACTCAATGAATCCTAACCCCAGCAGGAATATTTTACTTTCAACTTTCAGGATACATCATTCGATCATCAACATCAACATTATATAGCGGAGAAATCCAGGGAAAAATCTGAACTATTTATTGCTTCAAAGTAAAATAAATCACAAGTTGATTTTTTTCCCAAATTTCTCTCAAGTTATAATGTAATCATGTCTATCAAAATTGTCAGACAGATCAATGGGGGATACTGGGTTATCTGAATCCAATTGATTTTGGAATAAATGAATCTCTCATACCAAACATATAGGGGAACATTGTAACACCTCATGTACATTTACCCTTCTACCATTATTTAATTAATTTACCAAGCTTTGAAATTCAGGAACAGTATGTTGTTTCTGAAGGGATTTCAATTTAAAATGATAAAGTTACACATGAAGCACATAGAACAGTTTGTGGTCTTGCTGTTTCCCCTTAGAGAAATTTTTACTTCCCCCTTTGCAAAATAAGTTAAATAACAAAATATTTTCCCTAAAATTCTCCCTGAATAAAAATCTCTGATACTGGGGCACAGGCAAGCCAATTGAAAATCAAAAGAATATTATAGATGTGCATTTTTCTACCTTTTACTTGAATATCATCAGTCTAATAAACTAATTTATTAATTAATAAGGTAAGTACCAGTAGAACTTGTATGAACTTATATGAATCTTTTTATAATATCTTATCTCTTTTTAAATGGCTACCACTGCACTTCCTAGCAGAATTTTTTCCTTAATTCAAAGTTAATATATCAATAGAACATGTAAGTATAAAGAAAAAATTTCATAGCATAAAGATATCCTGAGGTAGTACGCTTAGTATTTTTCCCCCTCAGTATTTAACATTTAATAACAAGATTATGGACTATAAGACATTAAGTGAACCAGATGAGAATTGCAAATCTATCAGACGGCACTTGGCTTTAAAATATTTACAAAAATACACATTTTCAAAGAAATAACCTTTTAGTAGCTACTAATGAGAAACAAAAACATATGCAGAACTTCCTTGTGCCGAAAATAGATTCTATAATGAACAAAAACATATTATACTTGCAAAAAATAACACTGGCAAACAACAAGCTACAGAAAAACAGTAACAAAAAAGCAAACAAAATAGGTCTCTATTAACTATTGTCTGTAACTATTTTTCTAACAATGACCTTTGTTTGGTACATTATTAGTTATAAATGAGTATTGGCCCACTTCACATCATCTCAAATGATTATGATGTCTAGAGTCATTTCCCCAATAATATCTGCCTAAAATGACATACAAACACTTTCTCTCACTTTGTAACTTACAATAACACTTGAGATAATATCTTTCATCTATTTCCTTGAAAATTACAAAAATACCATTAAATATAATATAAAATTTCATGATGTTAGACTATAAATACTAAGTATTGACTTACATTCTACAAATGTATCATGTTTTGACACTTGGAAATTGAAGCTAAATCTGACTCGAAAGAAATTTGTCTCACTGATATATCAACAAAATGAATAATAATACGCAATAAAACAGGGAAAAAACTTTCACTATAGTCTGTACTGTTTCCAGATATAACAGTTAAAGTATAACGGAAATTCATTTAAATATAAAAATATCAAATAGAAAACATTAAAATTTTATAAGATATGTTAATGATGACATTAAATATGAAATTAAGGGAGCGGTGGCCTAGTGGTTAAGGTGTCTGCCTCTCAACCCAGGGATCATGGGTTCGAGCCCTAATTGGGTCACAACCATGTATTTTCATGACACCTGAGTACTGGCTGGTTCCAGGAAGCAGACACAAAAGTGATTAATAAGTTGCAAGATCTTGTTTCGCAATCGAGCTTAAATAAATATGTTTAAACCAAATAAGAATCACTTTTTACATGCAATACTCTTATATCACTTAATTTTCTTAACCAATATTGAAAAAAAAGTTCGAAAAGAGATCCCTTGAAGACTTAATTTCAAAGCATATTTAGACAATCATGTTCTTAACTTCATAAAGTAATCATTTCTATTCAATCAGTTGTGAAACATTTATGAACCTATTAACAAGGTTATTCTAAGCCAATTCTACAAAATTACAGTCATGATATTGTTCAGGAGAAATAAAAATATTCACAGTAAATATAATGTGTGTGAGTTTTTTGTCTGGCCATACACACACTAGATATGAATGTTATTGACTTATGTACACAAAATGCTTCTTCAAACTTTTTTTACGGTTCATCTTAAACAAGAAATAAATTATAACCTTTCACAAGCATCACAAATCAGTTCTGCAGACTAGGACTTGCATGGTCAGCCAGACAGAACTGATGAAATGCTGGGTGTAAGAAAAACATTCTTTCAGGCTGAACTAACATATTCATTGCAAACCAACAAAGATTTAGCATTCTAGGTGTGTGAGTGAGGGAGAGACTGAGACAATAGGCAATCAATACAACCACCTCAGGTGCTACATTACACTAGGAGACATTTTATAACATAAACTAACCCACTCCTTGCTAATTTGTGTAATACCACTTGTCCTTCTTTCAATCTGGAACTGCCAAAATATTAAATTCTGGAATTTTCAGATAGAAAAAAAAATGAAACCAAAAACAAAACTGAACAACTGACAGTTTTGTCTGGCCATACACACACTAGATATGAATGTTATTGACTTATGTACACAAAATGCTTCTTCAAACTTTTTTTACGGTTCATCTTAAACAAGAAATAAATTATAACCTTTCACAAGCATCACAAATCAGTTCTGCAGACTAGGACTTGCATGGTCAGCCAGACAGAACTGATGAAATGCTGGGTGTAAGAAAAACATTCTTTCAGGCTGAACTAACATATTCATTGCAAACCAACAAAGATTTAGCATTCTAGGTATTGCATGGTCAACAAAACATAACTGACAATGTCAATGTCAAAAAAGGTTCACTTCATTCGGTCCAGACACAAATAACAACCAAATGCATCCAGAAACTGACATTTTGCTTAGATCAAAACAAAAGTTCATGTAACAATATAGCATGGTCTTATCCAGTGCTAACCTGACACAGTCACCTTACAATCACGGTTTATATTAAACATGGGGGAAGGGAGCCAATTAATTTAAATGTAACTAATCTCCATGAAATGAAAGAGTTCAGTATCATTGAGTAATACACAAGTCCAACTAATGTTACTGCGCGACGAGATATTGTGCTATTTTCGTGTTTGGGCAATATCTCACCTCTACAAAAAGCGAGATTCTGCCCCAGAATGAAAATATCTCAGAATCAAGCTTTGGCACGTCAATATATGAGCCGTGTCACGCAAAAACCAACATAATGCGTTTGCGACCAGCATGGATCCAGACCAGCCTGCGCATCCGCGCAGTCTTATCAGGATCCATGCTGTTCGCTTACAAACCCTATTACAAGTAGAGGAACTGATAGCGAACAGCATGGATCCTGACCAGACTGCGCGGATGCGCAGGCTGGTCTGGATCCATGCTGGTCGCAAACGCATTACGTTGGTTTTGTCGTGACGCGGCTCATATTTTGACTTAGTAATATACCTACCCATAAGGTGTGGTATATGGATCCTCATCCTCCATATCATGTATTGTGGCATACATATTATCATTCATCACATCAATCATCATGAACTAATATTCATTCACAACTATATATGTCTTTATTCACTTATTGTGTAATAACTTATTCTGGTTATTTTCTTATCTTCTGATAAATCCTAACTTGTGGCAATAACTTACTTAATTGTGTAAAAAATCAACTCCTTTGCTTCAGTAATTGTATAATTAATAAATTATGTATTCCAGTTATTCAATAATTGTGAAATAACTTATTCTGAACATTCACTAACAGTGCAGCAATTCATATTTTTTATTTGGCAATTGTGTAATAACTTCTTTTGTTATGGTGGCACTCCACTTACAACTTTATTTAATAATCAAGAGTATTCATAATCAATGGAAAATTAATTGTGAGCCATAAATCCTTATGACACCTATTTATTCTTCTATAACTGATGTCATAATATTGATTGAAACTTTCATCTGAGAATATATTTCCCTATAGCCGAGTCTATTTATAATAAGATATTTCTGGTCCAGCAATTTTTTTTTAGAAAAAACTTCCTTGGTACAACAATATCTCATATTCCAAAAAGGCCATTTAATAACCTATTTTGTAGGTCTGTAATTATATAGCCGACCTGAGAGGAAAGTTTTTCCCACACTCCTGTGTCATTTTATAAAACAGACATAAGTTGACATAATCTCAACTAAAATAATCTATTCTGTTCAAAATATTTCCATTTTCATTGTTGAAACATATCAAATTTGTTAACTAATTATATAACGTATTGATCAGATAGTCAATCAATTAATGAACCACTTAAAATCTGCCTCTGCTAATGACAGCATAAAACTCCTTTCCAATATTTATCTAATTAACCAAGTATCAATTTTCAAAACTTGATAATTCCATACATTTCAAAAACTTCAATTAAAGCACTGATTAAACATACTCCAATCAAACATTTGATTCACTTAATATTCAATTAAATCTTTGTTAAATAATCTTTCATTTTTCTCTCTCAGAACTCAGCTCAGAATACATGCATTAAATGTTTTCCCATGCGATGTGCAACGATAACTTTAAAACCCAATATCACTTTAAAATAGCATCAGGGATCATGTACATGTATTTCAGATGTTCCCATTTTATGGAGATCTTTTATCAACTGGAATCCAAGCATTTTCTCCCAGGCTCTTCATTCTATCATCATCCATATGTTGTTTTTATCAGATTGCAGAAAAGAAATTTTTATTAGTCTGTAGCTGCTTGTAAAAGCATTTTCCTTACTGAACTTTTTTCTGGCACCCTGTCTAATCTTATCTCCTAATTTCCGAAGGAAACCGACACATTTATTTTAAATTGATAATTTCCTTTAAAAAAAAAATGTTTTCAATATAAATCTAAAACACTTTAAACAACATCTACTGAAAGAGCTTCAGATATTTAACATGGTTATACATTATTCACTTTGCATTTTTTCACACATTCCAACAGTCAAAACTACCGAAATATAAACACAAGTGGTTTATGGGACATATCAAAAATGTTATGAACATTGTATAATGATCATAAGATACCACAAAACAAGAAAGTAAAAACCAGCTTCCTTTACTATGTCAACAAATACTTGAACAAAGATCAAGTTGGTCAACTATATTACTAGCTACTAGTATGCAATTTCAATTCTACAGATATATCATCTTACAAAGCTTATTCTTAATACATAGAAACATGCTTTAATGCTTAAGGTGTAACAAACAATTTTTTTATGGTTTAAGTCATTTTCTGAGTCATAAAGTTATGCTGATATTGCGGAGGTCACATGGCAAATTATTTAACAAATAAAAAATTTTGGTAATTCATTTACAAAATTACATCTTTTATATCATTGACTTTGTTTTTTAAATGAAATCTGGTTTGAACCAACCACCTAATGTTATGTACCATATAAAACATATATTAGAGACTGAAAAACAAACATTTCATTGTCTAGACTATGCTTTTCATGTTTTTCTTTCTTTCTTTGTACACTAACATTGTACTCTAACAAAATTTGGCGGACAAACCACAAAGAGTGCATGAGATATATATCTCGCATATAATTATAACTACCTAGTAAATTATACTATCATAAAAAACCAATGTCAATTTAGTGCGTACTGTTTAAATTTCAATATTTATTTTCATTTTTTGATATGTCAAATTTATGGGTAGTTGACAGATACAAATAATCATTATACCATTATAGTGACCTTGATAACCTATCGCTGACTTTCTCTCCTTATTAAACCATCAAAGCATTATACTAAATGAGTTTTAAAAGAGCTACTGTATCATGCATTTATCTCCCCCTAGGTTTTACAGAAATTTTTCATTATTTTTAACAAATAATATATTAGCAAGGAAAAATATCTGAAGAAAAAAAAATTAACATTTATCTTAAACTGCTGAAAATTTTAAACTAGTAGTAGTTCATGCATTATGAGACCAGACACTTTCAACCTTTGACCTTTTCATGTGACCTTGACATTATTACAAGTTGGAAAATAAGTAATAGTTAACATATTTTATGGTTAAATATTTCTATGAATGAAAGAGAAATTTGTTAACTGTTTTATATAAAGAAAGTGAAATTAACAAGATAGAACAGTATATTTTGTTTGATAATATGTCAGTATTCTGAATGACCATTGTATTATAAGACAATTTTTTTGAAACAAATAAATGTGTATTATATACAGCTTTGTTCATTTGTAATTATATCATGTTAAAAGTTGTCTTTTATGTTGTTTTTTTTCCCTGTAACAACAATGTCATCAAGTAGTTGGCACAAGAATTGCTATTATATCTTGAATGTATACTAATTTATAATTCCTCAAATTGTCCCAAGTGTGTAAACTATGTAAAATAAAGTAGTTTTACAATCACATTTAGAGTAAGGAAGAAAGTTTGTACATTTATGTACATTTTCTGTCTTTTTTTTCATACCAAGCAGTCTTCATGTCATTATTTTTTCTGCATGTTTATTACATTTAAAGGTTTGAGAAGAAATCACAAAGTGGGACCAGATTGACATCATTATGTATTGTGGACACATTTACTGACATGCAAACTCTTCAGACAAAATAATGTAGAAACCTAGATTGTCTTGTATTATATTGCATGTATTGAGTATGTCCTTCAACATACTCCCACACATTCTGGCCAACAATACTACAGATGTAACTCACATAGGATATAATTACATATATTTATCATCAACTGATTTAGAACAGTCGTACAACCAGGTTTACCTGATCAATAGATAACAACATCCTTCAAAATCACGCTATGCATGAAATATTGATTTTAAATAATGCTACATGTATATTATATAAACTTATATACTTACATTCTTTTCTCTTTAGGCTTATCCATCTGTGTTTAAAACATGTTCCAATACTGAACAAGATTATCTAATATTTTGTAGAAAATCTTCACTACTTTCCCCAGGATTCACCATTATATTCCAAATGTTTACTTTATATTTTGTCAGATCCCAGTATCTTCAGAGATTTGCATCATGTGAAGAAAAGAAGTTGAGGTTGTTTCAGGTAAAGGTGTTACAATAATATAACCATTAAATTTTTCCTATCAATTTTCAAATCAACTTCCATTACATAAACAGATTTTTTTCAGTCTCCTGATAATTGTGCCTGATTTATTGTAAACAAAATATTGTATCAATCAGAACAAAAAACTTCTTTGTAATTAATAACAAAACACACAAAATAAATTATTTTATAAAATCCTCAGTTTCCGTAACTGAAGATTATTTTTATATTCCAATAACAAACAATTTCTGCTTAGCTTTGACTTTAACCTCTTTTAACATTTTATACATTGAACACCTTCTGTTTCATCACACCAGTCCTCAGCAACAATTGATGAATAATTAAAAAAAATCTTCCACATTGTCACGAGGAAACAATAAAATCCATGTAATATTTACCGGTATGTCAAATTACCCACAAGCTTATCTTCCTCCAATGCCAGCTAGCTTTTGGAGGGCCCTTCAATGAAGAAAAATCAGCAGTAGAGGATTTCCATAATTGATACAGCCTAATTCTCAATTATTACCCCGTACTATGATATCTAATTGGATTGATCCATCATTGCACTATCACCAAACAAACACCAACAATTTGACAGTTATTGATGTATAACAATTTATTAGATTTTCTTGCAACCATCATTTAGCTTCCAGATGTTCTGGAAACTTTTTGGGTTATATTTAGCATTTACATGAGAAAGTCATTCAATTGCTAGAGATACATTTTTGTACCAGCATTCATTTTCCCTCTGATATGAGTCTTCTTTACCCTCCAAAACAATCATGCTGGAACTTAATTCTTTATAATTACTAGTTAAGGCAAATTATTCCCCAAAAATTTCCTTAAAATAATCAGACTAAACAATGTAGAGTTTTGCTATTCAAAAACAAACTAAGGCCATTTATTACACATCAACTGACTTGGCTTCAGTCAGCACATTGCTAAGTTGTCAAACACAAATGTTTAGAAATTGGCAACACCAGAAATCAATAAGTATAGGAAAGACTGTTATTATTTTCTTATGCTCTACAACAAACTTGTCTCCTGTATCAGGGAAGAAACTAAATATGCATACATAACCTTATATTGCCAAATATCTCTTTCCAAGTTGGGGAAATGCAAGCTTAAACCACTTTCTTTAGATTTATTACATTTTACATGCTTGTATTCCGCAATAAATCCAAGCAATACCAAATAGTTAGCTAAAGAAATTAATCTTATACAAAAGTGGAAAACAATCTTATTCCACAAAATACAAATAACATAATATTGTATCCATAGTTTTTAATGTGTCTGTATGTTAACTTACATGTATAATCATCAAAAGTTGACAGTTCAACGCTTGCTAGCAAATTTGACCAAAATCAAACCATAAAGGTGTGTTAACATTGCTTTATAGTATTAACATTCAGTTAAATGTGTGTATATATTACATACACGTACTGTACATTATACATGTTGTAATCACATAAGACAGAATTTCTTAGATTTTTATTTCCATTAATTTTATCATTTCCAGGCAAGAACTTAATACGCATTTTTAATCTTAATTAAACACAACTGAAAATGAAGCAATTGGTAGCAAAAATACAAGTAACACTGATGATAAATAGGAGAAATTTTCAGCTGCAGACACTTTAGAAATATTCCCAAGAGATTAACACTTTGAGGAGGGAAAACTTTTTGCTTTCAATTCTGACGTACAAGAGTGAAACTGAATATTTAGATTGGTTCTCTGTACCAACAAATGTGTTAACAACTTAACACCTAACTATTTCAAAACAGAAAGAAAATTATCTGGCATTGTTACAAAAACAAACTAGAAATGTGTCATCATGCCACGGATGCCCCCGCATGCAGCCAAAATTTCAGATGTTATAATATTTAGTTCCAAATTTGTTTGCACAAATTATTTTTTTCATTTGCAGTTCAAAGCCCTTAAAACTTTTCAATGTTAACACAAACCATTTTCATACAATGTTCAAAGCACTGAAATTATTTAGTTTTAACCTTTTGAAAATAGCATATTTCATATTTGTAGCCCAAAATAATGGCTACATACATTTCCACAAAAAGTATGAGTGCTGAAACTGAAAGTTCAAAATTTTTCCAACATTCAAGAAAGATAAGTTTGTCCAAAATCATTGAACCACGACCAAATTCAAACTTTCCACAAAAGTATGAGTGCTGAAACTGAAAGTTCAAAATTTTTCCAACATTCAAGAAAGATAAGTTTGTCCAAAATCATTGAACCACGACCAAATTCAAACTTAAAACTGCTTATTCCTAAGATGTATCTTATATTATTTTCAAAGTGAAAGGGACATAACTCTGCCAAAAAATCATCGAACCATGACCAAATTCCAACTTGACCTACCCATTCCTTTGACATATCCATATGTCAAATTTGAGTTGAATATGTAACACTGTTGGGTAGATAATGAACAGAAACTGTAAATTTCATATTATTTTCAAAGTAAAGGGGGCATTACTCTGCCAAAAATCATTGAACCATGACCATATTCGAACATGGCCTGGGCATTCCAAAAACGTATCCATATGTTTAATTTGAGTTGAATGTGTTGTACTGTTGGGGAGATAATAAATATAAACTGAAAATTTCATATTATTTTCAAAGTGAAAGGGGCCTAACTCTGCCAAAAATCATTGAACCACGACCAAATTTGAACTTGACCTGCGCATTCCTTTGATGTATCCATATGTCAAGTTTGAGTTGAATGTGTTGTACCGTTGGGGAGATAATGAACGGAAACTGAAAATTTCATATTATTTCAAAGTGAAAGGGGCATAACTCTGCCAAAAATCATCGAACCATGACACATTCGAACTTGACCTGTATTTTTCTCAAGACATATCCATATGTCAAATTTGAGTTGAATGTGTTTTACCTTTGGGGAGATAAT